ATACCCGAGATAAGAATGAGACATTCTATTTATAGGCACGGGATCCGACATATCTCACGACCGACGGTTATGCTTGTCGAGTCGCAGGTCGAACCTGTCGGGTTACTCAGATCGAACCGTCCAACAAGTGTAGAAATTAGGAAAGCGATTAAATCTTCCACCTCGACAAGTTCTAGGTAGAGCTGCCAGTCAGGATATAATTCTTCTACAGATGAATCAATGTCCTCCACGTGGCACAACAATTTTCTCTCCTAAACAAAATATATGGATAAAATTCCAAGCAATTGGTGTCTTTTTTTTTAATTTCTAACTTTTTTACCGAAGGTTCCCAACATTATTACTTTCAGTTCTAAAAATTCATTAAAAGTCACATTATTATTTATTTTTATAGTATTATATTTGAAATAAGTCATTGAGAATTCAAAACCAACAACTCATATAAAGAGTGTACTCAACCAAAAAAAAACAACTCATATAAAGAGATACACATACTACTATTCGAACTTTGTGGAAAAAATAATACAATTTTTTTGGTGGGATATTTGAAAGAATTTCACATTTATATGGATGGCGATAATTTTAAAAGTTAATATTCTAATTTCAAAAAAAAAAAATTTTGTCACAGTTAGATATTATACACTTGAATCGTCATCAGAAGTTGTTCAAACAAAATAAAATAAATAATTATTATTTTTTTATCTTTTTATTAATTAACTTTTATCCTTAATAAATCAATTGGTATATCAATTTTCAATTAATAACACTGGAAAACAATTGATTAATTAATTAACAATTTTTTCCTATCAAGAACTATTTTAAACATCCATTTAAAGAAAGAAAAAAAACTTGTTTGAACAAGATATATGGTGCACTATTTTATCAGTGTAGACCCCGTATTTGGTCCGGCTTCATTTTAATTTTAATTTTTACTATTTAATTTTATTTATTTTGATTATTTTGGTTTAAAATACTATAAGATTACTTTATTATTGGTTATCAGCTAAAGTTAAAATTAAATTAAAAAAATAGATTTTGTTTTAAAGAATTTGATTTATTATTAAAATAAAAGAAATAAAAATGATTTGGTTTTAAGTAAATAATTTTATTTTAAAAAAGATTTTGTTTTAATTAAATAAAGATTTTATTTTAACAAAACCTTTGATTTTTAACTGTTTTTCCTCTTTGATTTTTTCCTCGTCAAAGGCACGTAACGTGTCATCTTCTCCTTCCTTTTCCTTCCCCTCCCTTCTCTAACCATCTCATTGTTACTGTTATTATTATTATTATTATTTTTGTGTATTTAAGGGGTACACAACATACAGAAGGACACAGTGTAATAGTTAGAAACTCATCCTATCTTCTTCTCTCCATCTCTCTTATCCCACCATCACCACTTTTCTCCTTCATACCTACAACCTCTGACGACGCAAGGGAACGACACGAACGACAGCAGCAACAACTCGCAGCAACAACCTTCTTCACGCTTCAAGGCTTTGGAACTCGTGCTTTTAATTTGAAACAGATTCTTTTGTTTCTATCAAAGATTTTTTTCTTTTAGGAAAAAATGTTTTTTTTAAGAAAAAGTTTTTTTTTTTAAAGAAAATGCTTTTAGTAAGAAATCTTTTTTTTAAGATAAAAAAAAATCTTCTAAATTAATTTTAAATAAGTTTTTGAAAATAAAATAAGGATTTTGATATTTTAAAATTTGTTTGAAAATAAAAAAGGTTTTTCTTTTTCTAATAAAGAAGAGTTTTTTTAATGAAATAAATATTAAACTTAATTTTATTTTAATAAAAGATTTTACTTTAAAATTTTGGTTAAAATACGTTGAAAAAAAAAGAAATTTTATAAAATAAATCTTGTTTTAAAAAAAATTTCAATCCTTTAATTTCAATTCAAACTTTAAAAGTTAGTTTTTATTTAAATTTTTTATCAAGGTTTACTTTTTTTATCAACTTTGTTTTATCTTTTAACTAAAAAGAGTCTTCCTCTGTTGCATGATTTTAAAAAAGGAGGAGATAAAAACATAGTTTTTCTATAATAAAATCTTTTTTTTTAATTTTCTTTTAATGATTTGGTGGTTATGGTTTTGAAAAGAATTTTAACAAAAAAATCAATTTTTTAGCAAACAAGTTTTGTTAAAGTAAATTTTGACTTTATTTTTAAATAAATTTTTTTTAAATAATCTTGTTAATTTCGAAATAAATAAAAAAAAGTTATTTCTTTTTGTTTTAATTTAACAAAATTCGTAGTTTTTTTTAGTTAAAAAAAATAAATTAAAAAACTAATACAATGTTTACATATTAAGATGTTGTCATAGTGGTAAAGATGTTTTATTTTTAATGTACATGACCCAAGTTAACACTCATGTCGCAAATTCAAGTTTTAGGTGATCAATCACACCGACTCCAAACCTTATCTTGAAAGAGACACCTTCAGGGGATGATGTCGGCCGCTCTGCGTCGCGATGACGTTGTGACAATCAGATGTTTTATTTGTTGACAACATAACTATTTTATTCTATATTTATAAGTGTCATCTCATTTCTAAGATTTCTAATTTTTTATTCAAGTAGGTTCTCGTCATCCTAATAAACATTAATTAAATAATGTTTTAGTTTTGTTTGTTTCTCCTGCTGTAAATACCATATTTGGTGTTGTCCATTATTCTTTTTTTTTTCTCTTCTTTTCTTTTTATAGGTATTGTACCGACAAAAATCAAAGAATCGAAATAACAAAATAATACAATAACTTATTTGTTTGATGAATGAGAATTTAAAAATTTAAATAATAAATTCAAAAACCAAAACAAAATTCTCACTTAAATCTCTCTCAGTTCCCCTTTTCTCTCCCAACTCTTCAGAGTGGGGGAGGAACTTCTTCGTCCTTTACTAAGGATTTGTTATTCTCTCTTTTTAACTCTCAGCCTTCCTCCAAATTCTTTCTGGAGTCTCTTTTGCTTTCTTTCTAATTCTCATCCACATATCTCTCAGCAGATTGACGGTGAATTGAGGTAATTAAAGTTTTTCATTTTGTATATTACTCTCCTGCATCTCCCTCACTCCACTGATCTTTTTCTAGGAAAGCACACAATAAAACATGGAGAAAAAATCCCGAGATTCACAATATTTTTTTTTACTCTTTTAGATTTACTTTTAAAGAAAATATTATTTTCTAAAAAGTTAAAATTTTCCTGTTGGTGCAAACAACCATTATTTCTCTTCATTCCTCATCTTTAATCTATAAATCTAGTCGAACTTATCATCCAAAGATGTGAAATTTTCCATATTTTCATTCTCCTTTCAAATTGTATGAATGCTTGCTTTAAATTAATATTGTATATTTAGAAAATATCAATTTTCCGTATTTATTATATATAAATTTCATGTGATCCTTTCATTGTATTTCTAGAGGAAACTAATTTCACAAATATTTGAAATATCTTATTGCAGTGTTTTGTTTCGAACTTTTTCTTATTATTTTATTTAATGATTATATTTGATCTCATTCTATATTTCATTTGCATGCTTAATTATAAACCTACAAATTAGATACATTTAGGAAATTTCACATGAAATTTGGATATTTCATACAAGTAGATATATATTTGAATTTAAATGTTCATTTAAATTTTAATTACGGGATCACATGGGAGATCTCATTTATTTTTCACTGAGTTATTATTTTTTGTAGTAATTTAATAAAATTAGTAAATCAACTTATTTATTTTTCGAGATTGAGTAAATGTTTTTTATGGTTCTTTTTTTAACATTTCATAAATTCACGAAATCCCATCACCAAAATTACTTTCACAAAATTCATATTTCTATTAAATATATTTAATTTTAAAAAAATTAAAAAAATCAAAATTCGAAAATGAGTAGTATTATTATTTGTTTACTTATTTATTTATTTAAGAATTCATAAATATAAATAAACTTCTCACAAGAATTTTTTTTTCATAATTTTAATGAAAAGTAGTGTTTTATTGGTTTTTATTTTCTAAATGTTGTAAATACACGAAATTTTCTAATATTGAATTCACTTTTCTAATATTATTTTGAGGTGAGGAAATTTATTGTTGAAATAAAAAATAAATTTTCATATTTTTTAATTATGTTTATGCCACCCGTAATTATTAATGCATATTTTAATTTTTTTTAAACGTAAAAAAAACATATAAGACACTTAAACATAAAATCAAATTAATTTTTGTTGATCTTAACTGATTTAGTAAATTAGATAATAAAAAATAAATTACTATTAAACCGAACTTATATATTTACCTAAACAAAAATTTTTCTTTTCTTAGATTCAACATAATTGCCCTTAAAGAGTATGTTGGATGTTCTGTGCCTCGAAATACATTGTGACAACTTAATGACTATGCTAGAGAACAAACTAAGTCATTGTACTTTATGTTGATATCTTCTTATTTTTGTTGGTCCACTATGTTTTTTATTTATTAATTATATTTAATTTGTTGTAAATATTTTTGAAATCGCAGTTTAGTACCGTTTCAGTTTTATTTTACACGTTCATGCATTTCACAATCACTTACCCGTCCTAGCTGTTATCTTGCATGATTAGAATTTAGGATGGGGCAGTGTCAACATTCGAGCGGTTTCGACCTCATGCAGGAACATTATCAGCATGGTACTGATAGTTCTAGTCTTTGGCATTCTATTCATTTTCCCCTCATCCCTTCATAATTCTTCAGCAAATACAAATTCTCCCTTTGTCTCAAGTAACCAAAATCACCCTTATCTATCATAAATACAAAACCTAAACTAGTTAAAATAGTTTATAAGTATTCTTTCTCTAGAGGTCGAAGGTTCAATCTTCCTCATTTCCGACCTTTGTTGTACTAAAAAAATAAATTTAAAGAGATTCATATACCAATAATTTAAAGAGAACTCATAATTTAGGTGGAGGAGGTACATTTTTTTCCAACATAAAATAGATTATAATATATAAAATCACAAACATGCAAGAGCCAAGAACATAAATGGAAAATATTCCACACTTATTTATTATTTCATGAAATAAAACACATTCACTACAAAATAGCTAGTTAGCCATAAAAACATGCCTTATTTCTATGTGTGGATCTGCAAACGATGTCGTATCTGTGACATTAGAGTTACATTGGCATTCATATAGCTCCAAGGGGCAATATTGTAGGGATATAATTGTCATTAGCACCATTGACTTTGTAGTATAGTAGGAGCTTGATATTGCTTTTTACAACTCCAGTAGAAGTATTGGTTACACTAACTCGTTTGCCATCAATGGTTATAAGCTCAACAGCTTTGTCAAATTGTCCAGTTCCTTTGCTATTTGCTATCTGGATTTGTTTCGAGAGAGCACCCCAACTATTTTCCAAACTTATGATTGCTTGATTTGGAAAAAAATTGCTGCTAACATGTTTAGAAACTTCTTGCTCGATATATTTAAATCTTGCAGCTTCTGCAGTCGACTGGATGAGTACGAGTAGTGCGGTTGCAGTAAGTTTGTAGTTGTTGTTGTAAAACAAGTTTGTAATCGCATTGCTTAGAGTAGGGATTCCAAGCTCAATCAAATCTCGGTTTTTGCCTACAATACTTTGAAGCCTATCGTAATTACCAGAATATGGAAGTGTTACCTTTTGAGTACCTACGAATAAGAGCCTGAAAGCTTCAGCAGAAGTGTCTTCAAAAAAGTAGGATACAGCACCAGTGCTATACGCTGCGATATAAACATTTGTTACATTTACCGCCACTGTGATGGTTTGGTAGTTATAATTGGTGAGACTGAAGAATCTGAACCATTGTAACCCAGATGCAGTCGAAGGTAGCACAGGTATATTGCACACTGTACCTCTAGTCGGAAGAGCACTCCTCAAGTCTCTGATAAAAGATGTATAGGAGTTTTTAGTAGCTGTGGACAAATCGAAGCTAACATCACCCTTGGCAGTAGGAGGGCCAAGAAAGATTGTGAGAATGAAAAAAGAAAGTGCTATGGATTTCATCATCTCTCCCCTTGTGGTTATTCTGATTGCTACTTCAACATCCTAGCTTATCTTTTATATAGAGAAGATGATACACAACACGAGAAAATTTTTGGCACTATGAGAGCATGAATGCTTTTTTCCTTCATCATTTGCCACGTTAGTATTGTATTAAAACTAATGTGTGAGATCTACCAACGTTAAAAAAATGTATATTTATAAAGACAAAATTATAGTATGAACATAAAATGGTACTATTTTATTTCTTTAGCATCTTTAGATTTTTTTTTTCTTCGCATCTGCTAAAGAGATAGAATGAGTTATTGAGTAAAAAATTATTTACAAAAGAAGTTTACTGTTATCTGAAAATTAAAGATATGAAGTTCTATGTGAAAACTACTTTCGTTAAAGAATAATAGTCAGATAATCTAATTATATTTAAAATGTACATATATTCTAATAAATCAAATGCGCTCTTTGTCATAACTATTTATTACTTACCATTTTTCTAATTAGTATGCTCGATTATTAAATTTCTTACATCCTTACAATGAAAAATCAACATTTAATTTTCTTTTCCATGAGTTTGTGGCATTAAAAATTTCGAGAATAACTCCATAATTAATGCACTTTTATATCTTACTTGTTGAATAAAAAAGAGAGATGACATTATGATCCGAAACAATCTCTAGAAAGCAACCATGGATTGTATATGAAATATGACATATAAACCTACATAAATCGATGGTCTGCGGTTTACGCTAATGGATCTCTATAATTGGAATTTATTGTCTGGATTAAGGAACAAAGTGAACAATACAAAATCGATAGGTGATTCTATGACACTCCATGTCTTTGCCACTACACCATCTCCAGAAGACAATTTATTTATTGACCTCGAGAAAAGGTTAAGCCTTTAATCTTTTAAAAAAAGAAAAGAGTCCTTAACCATTGAGTTATCTTCTGAGGCTTTATTCGATTTTATTTAGGTTATCTTCTGATTGGCTTTACTCATTCTTTGGTTTGGGAATTGAAATCTACGTTAAAAAATCCTTATTTGGGGACATGGATATTTGTGAGAAAAATTACCGTTTTTATAAGAAATTGGAAAGAAAAAAGAAAAATGATAGTGGGTACAATATTTAGGGATGAAAACAAGATCTGAAATATACTTTTTTAGAGAAAATAAATAAATACAAAGGGAAATAAAAGTTCCACGGAAAGAATCTTCGTCCTATATATATTGTTGTTGAGATTGAGAAGGGAAAATAATTAAATATGAGTTGGAAAGATATAAAGATGTAAAGATGAACCATTTGTATTGGGAAAGTTCAACCATTTTAAATATTGTCATTTGAAATCCGAGAAATTATTTAAAATTTTTCATCTTGTTTGGAACGAGGATTATTTAAGGCGAATGTAATTAAACTTCAGATCGCTGGAAAGAAGATAAAATACACAGTTTATTGATTTAAATTTTTAGTCAAAATTTATTAATTAAAAATTAAAGTATGACATGAATTTACTCCGACATTTTATAAAATTTTACCAAATTTTCAATTAAACTAGTCCAAAAAAAAAAATCCCCATAAAAACACGATTTGAAATTCATATGTAATAACAAAACATGAAATCTTTGTAATCATTAAAAATCTTGAGGTACCAAACACAAAGAAGTGAGAAGTTGAATTGGTTTATTGTGTCACATGATTGAAACCGACATATTAGCATTGAAATTCTTGACACTTGGGATGCATTGTGTTAAAACCAATCCAATCCGAAATGATGACAAAATTCAAAATAAATCCAAAATTTTGAAAATAAATTTCGGGATTCGAATTTCGTTACACTGTATAAATTTTGTCCTATTTATTTATATAATCCAAAACATGCAAAAGAAAATTAAAAGTTTGAATGCTTCGGAAAAAAAAAACATGCAAAAGAAAACAAAAAACCGTGGCCAAATCACATTGCCAAATGTCTCCACTCTTAAGCTTTATCGACACATACACAACAACACGTAAATCGACCCTTATTAATAATTTGTCGCCCAACACTTTCTCAATGTTTTATATGATCCATTCGAGAGATTTTAAATAAACTTTCATTTCCATATACTTTTTTCAATACAATAAAGATTCAAACTTACAATCGTACAATCCTACGATCCTTTGGTCGGGATACATTTCTTTACCAATTGAGTTATACTCATATTGGTACGTCCATCCCCACCTCTGTTGCATTAAAAAAAAAGCAATAAGTTGTGAAATAATACTAGTTTTTATTTCGTTGGTGAAATTTTAACATGTCATTTTTCCGAGCATCTATATATACAATCCTAATTTAATGTGGTATTTATTGGAAAGAATAAATTTCATCGCACACTTATTTATTATTATTTTTGTGTAAAAAAATGTTGGTAATTGTTGCCTCAATATAGTTTGTACCAATTTCTAGCTCCTTAAATTATTCGATCCTTGTTATACTTAAAATTAACTTTGGTCTTCAATAGAGTCTGCATTTTTCAACTGAAATGAAATATAATATTACTGCGACATTATATTGACTATCAGACCAATAACAACACTCAAAATAAAAATAAAAAAAAATAGAAAAAGAGCTTGTGCCTGTCATCACCAAGTTTTTGGGGTCTCTAGTAAACCAAAGACATTGTTTAATACTTACATGAAGAAAAGTCATTGGCTTATCAAATTAACTATTAGGACTATAATTAAGACATCCTGAAAACGTACGGGTCCCAATCACGAGCAAGTAATTGAATGAGTGGGATGAAACTGCATGCACTCGGTTGAACTTGAACCTACAACATCGGATTTTGGAGACCTACTCGAATGAGAAAGGAAGAGCGGTAGGTCCTAGTATTCGTCCCGCTCCCCCTTAATAAATAAACAAAGACGAATAAGTTTAACATTTATTTCTTACGTGTTAATTGGGCAAATATGAGACCCCTTCCTGTATAGTAGTGAAGATTTATTAAAATTCATTTTTCGGCTACGATTAATTTTTTGAAGTAACATTATATATATATATTATGTGTTCCTAATCTAATAATTTTAAATTTTAGGTATCAATATTAAGATCAGTATAATATAATTTAAAGAATAAATGGATGCCCTCGTTAACATATTAATTATTATGGAAGCATTCTAGTATTTTAACTTTCATTCAGTTACGCAATTAAACAATAAACAATCATTTTTATTTAAATTTTGTTAGTAAACCATAGTTAGATATTAAACCTCTCTTATTAATAGAAGATATATATACTATTCTAAATATTCTCATCCCAAGTTGTTGAAAAATTAAAATAATAATAATAATTTATTTATCTTTTTTATTAATTAATTTTTATCCTTGTACTAAAAAAATAATTTTTATCCTTAACGGTATATTAAATAATATCAAAAATCAATTAATATACCAATTGTGGAGTAATAACAATGGAAGACAATTGATTAATTAAATTTCAATATATAAGTATTAGTGAAAAAATTTCTCATATCAATAATTTGTTTGAGCATCTATTAAAAAAGAAAAAAAATATTTGAACAAGATATATCGTTCACTATTTCATCAATTAATTTATTTGTTGGTAGCTGAGTATTTAATTTTGTTTGTAAGTGTCATTTTATTTGTTGGTAGTTGAGTATTTAATTCTTTTTACAAGTGTCATTTTATTTTAAAAATTTCAATTTTGTCCTATATATGTCTACATTTTTCATTAAAGTACATCAGACCATCCTAATAAATATCGTTGATGTGAAGATTTTGACCCTCCGGTTCACCTTCTCGCTCACACCCAACTTGATGATGAGGGAACTAGAACTTGCAAAACCGAATCAACCTAAACCGGTGTGACCTTAGTCACATGGGCTCCGATGCCTAAGTTAGCAAAGGGGAGTTGAGAAATGGTAAATTTCCAGTTTGTTACCTCCCTCTTAGGGTTAGGCTGCATTGCTTACTTATAGATGCGGGAATGGTTCCAGAACCTTCTACAGTTGTTTGGTTACGGCTTAGAACCCTTTGTGCGAGTGTACACAACCATTGTAGCAAGTGATAAAAAGTTCGTACCCACAGGGATTGATAACTAAACACTTCAACAATTACTAAAGAAAATAAATAAATTAACAAAAATGTGTTTTGCACAAGAAAACTAAAGAAACTCAAACAAAATAGTGCATACAAGATTTGCTGAGTAAAAACAAGTCAAAACCAAGCAAAACCAAATCGATTAAAGGAAAATATGCAAACAGGAGGTTAATTACTTCTATCGAAAAGGGTAAGGGGGAAGAGTTTGCGTGACTTTTTCTGGGCTACTTTAACGATGCTGCAGCATTAATGATGTTGATATACTGGCCAAACAGATATGAAATCTTCTCAAATTTCCAGATTTTCTGCTATTCATGTTTTTAGACAAACGTGACAGCATATATACTCAGTTTATAACCTTGCTAGGTGAGCCTTATTCCTAAGTACCCGCACTCTAAACACAAGTAGATCTAGCACGAGTTGAAGCCAAATACATCCTATTACAATTTTCCAAGAGTTAATAAGAAGATATTCCAATATGTTGGCCAAGCACACTGAAAATAAAACGTTAAAAACAACTTCAACTCAGTATATATATATCATCATAAAGCCAAAGCAAAGTTTATAGCCCAAGAACAAGTTCACAACATCCTCCCCCTTACAAATAAACTTAGCTACTCAATGTCATACAAGAAAAGGGAAGAAGAAAATACAAAACCAGTGCATTAAAGAGTGCAAAAGAAGAAGAAATTAAGAATAGCAGCAACACTTCTCTCTTTGTTGGCTTCTTCAACGGTTTCTTGGGAGCTTTCTTCAAGTGAGAATGGAGTGATGGGCTGGAGAATGTTGGAGAGTGTTGGAGGCAACCCTAATAGCAAGCTTTTATACCCCTCTTGATTTTAGGGCAACACAAATGATAAAATGGCCCCCAACTAAAAATAACAAGTATTTTTCCGTTTTACTACAGTAATTTCTCGGGTAAAAGTTGTAAATGTCAACTCTATCTTTTTCTGCCTTTTTAACTCTGATGCTGTAGCATCAACAATGTTGTAGCAAAACATTCAAAATTAGATCATTCTTCGTAACTCTCAACATCATCATAAAAAATAAGGAAGATAGTGAATTTATAACGTTCTATGCACAAAATCAAT